CCTGTCTCTGAGTCCAGGTGCTGGGATTAAAGGCATGCATAGCCATATCCACCTGTCTCTGAGTCCAGGTGCTGGGATTAAATGCATGCATAGCCATATCCAGCCCTGCCTATTCTTTTTTTTTAAGATTTATTTGCTTATGTAAATGGCTGTTTTGTCTACATGTAGGTTTGCACATCAGAAGAGGGCATCAGATTCCACGGGACTACAATTAGAGACGGTTGTGACCTACCACGTGGGTGCTGGGGATTGAATCAATTAAGAGCAGCCAGTGTTCTTAACGGCCTTCTAGCTCTCAACCCTATTTATGTTTGTTTTCTGCCATATTTTTAAAGACAGGGTCCTTACGCTGGAGTTCCTAGATTCAGCTCGACTGGCTGGTACAGGGATTCTCCCAGCTGCTTGCAAGGCAAACACTTTCCTGACTGAGCTCTCTCTCCTGTCCCTGGTATTACGTTGCAGGTCACTGAGAGCCCACCCTCATGACACGCTAACCTTCTCACAATGTGCTGGAAGTGCACATGATTTTCGCTTTCCACAGAAGCCAATTCTTACCATGTGGGAAGGGTAGAGAAGTTGTTCCCACAATGCAATAGAATTCTCACTCTGCAACCCACAGAGATACATCTTACAATGGCAATGTGTATCCCACGATGAGGGCTATACCCCTCATCTCACAATGGCAATGTGTGACCCACGATGAGGGCTTTACCCCTCCCCGTACCTGGCACAGCGGGCACAGAGGCCTTGGGTAGACCGATCCAAGTTCAAGACATGGTCAGCTCCCCTCCGGGAGTTCTGAAGTTGCCGCCCCAGCTCCTCCAGAATCGGCTTCACTGGTCCCAGAACCTCTAGTTCGCTCCTGAGTGAAGCCATAGACGCGGCTGATCTCTCCACCCTGAGATGGGAGAGCAAGCAATATGGGTAGCTTGCAATGTCCAATATTAGCCTGGATCCCGAGAGAGGCCGCCTTTCGATACTATAGACCTGCCTGTCCTCTACTCCAGTGGGGTCCTCCATCTCCTCTAGGAGTAGGAGCTAGGGCTTCTGCTAGGCAAATGGACTACTGCCGAATCATGCTCTCATTCCTTCTGGTGGATCGCAGGGACTCTACCCCAAAGCCACGCCCTTAATCCATAGCAGGGGTGTTTTAGGCAGGGGCTCTACCACTGAGCCACACTTCCACACCCTCAATGGGGATTCTAGGCAGGTTCTACCTCTTGGTATGGGTCACTTAGCCCCAGCAGACTGGTCAATCCTTAGGTTGGTTCACTTTCCCATGGACCCATGTCCCCTCCAACACCTACTGGGCCCTTACATGGTGCACAGCTCATCTGCCCGTCCTCGCAGCTCCTGCAAGTCCCGCGCAGACTGTGCCTGCTCCCGCTGTGCGCGTTCCCACTGGCCCAGAAAGCCATCCAGCCGGCCACCTAGGCCACCCAGCAACCGCAGGGCTTCCTGCACTGCCCCCTCCTCCTGATGCCACCGGGCTGCCAGTGAGGACACCTCCCTCCTGCGGGAATCAGAGAGGGAGAAAAGATGGGTATAGATCTGACCAGGCATGCCCCCAGCGACTTCACCCCAAACAGATCACCCAGTTATTCTCCCTCCCTCCCTCCCTTCCTTCCTTCCTTCCTTCCTTCCTTCCTTCCTTCCTTCCTTCCTTCCTTCCTTTTCTTCCTTTTATTTTTTTAGACAGGTTTTCTCCGAATAGCCCTAGTTGTTCTAGAACTTGCTTTGTAAATCAGGCTGGCCTTGAATCATAGAGATCCACCTGTTCTTCCTCCCAAGTGCTGGGACTTTTTTATTCTTTTTGAGACATGGTCTCTCTATGCAGTCCTGGTTGTTCTGAACTCTATGTAGACCAGGCTGGCATGGAACTCACATAGATCCTCCAGCCTCTTCCTCCCCGTGCTGGGACTAAAAGTGTGCGCCACTATGCTCCGTCTTTTTCTTTTCTATGTGTGTGCTAGGTTAGCCCTGTATCACTGATGTCACCACCCAAATCTTCTTCTAGGTTCTGCTGCTGTCCTCACTCGCCCAGCTCCTCTAAGCCCCATCCACTTCAGCCTCCAAGTCCCTCCCGTATCAAGCTTTTCCAATCCTCCCTCACCTACCGCAGCCCCTCCGATCCACTCCCGCTCTCCTTCCCGCTTTCATCCAAACCCCACCCTCCACGTTCCACGGAGGTCCCACCCTTTGTTTAACCTGAGGCCTGGTCCACCCACCTCCTTCAGTCCCCGCCCACCTCAGCTCCTCCAGGCCGGTGGACACCTTCCGCAACTGCTGCTCTGTCAGCGAATGTCCCTCCGCTGCCCGGAGTGCCATGCCCCAGGTACTAGAGGTCAGGCCTCGCGGCCGCGGGGGCTCCTCGGGGCTGCCGGGCGGGCCGGAGCACCCCTGACTTGGAGTGGCAGAGCTCAGGCCACGCCGGGAGATGCCGGCCTCCAGCTTTTGCTCCAACTCCTGCAGCTCGGCTTCTTGCCTCCGTGGCGTCTCATCCTGCAGTTGCTGCTGGAGGTACCTTAGCTTCTCCTGGGCAGGAGAGGACAATGAGTCAGGGTGTCCGGCACCCTGTCACCCTTAGTCACCTGCACCTTAGGGATCCACAAGACTGCAAAGTAGTGTGGGAAGAGGAAACTGGGAAGCATGCTTGCCTTCTAACTGGCCTCACTGCAGCCATTAGGGGAGAGACCGTTTACTCTAAACCCCTCTGGCTGTTTCTAAGACTGCAACCAGCCTACCCCCATCTCCTGCTCTACCTGTCAAAAATCAGTCCTTCGAGACCACGGCAGGCTTTCTCGGCGTTTTGTTGGGCAGTAAGCTGGCACGTTTCATCCTAGAGCCCACCCACCAGGGACTTAGAGCTTACGTCTTAACTTCCTGAGGCTCCACTCTGGTCCCTCCCACCAACCCCTCTTTGGCTCCTCCTGTGGGTCCTCCAGTCCACCTCAGAGCTCCACAATCAGGTCCAAGCCGCCTCAGCTCTGGCAGCTCTGGACGCTCTGCACTCCTGTCCCTGCCCTCCCCAGCTCCACTAACCCCCATCCCTAGGCTCCACCCAAACTTTTTCCTAGTTTGGGACCCCCTCCTCACAGCCTTCTTACCTCCAGCAAGGCAGAGTTCTGCTTCAGGACGTTGGTTTTGATTTCAGCGTCTTCCACTGAGCGGGTCACCTTGCGGCAGTTCTCCTGGGTCAGGACATCAGGGCGGGGGCCCTACCTTCCCATTCCAGTTCTGCCCCCACCTTCAGCCTAGCTGTTTGCATAGCACCTGCCCCGCGTGGGATGCAACTCCTCCCCAGCCCCTCTTCCTCCCTAGCCAGCCTGTGCTAACCCTTCCCGTCCTGTACTAACCCCATCCTGTGCTAACCCTTCCCGTCCTGGCCTAACCCTTCCACCGTCCTACTACTCCTGCGCTCCTTTTGTCTTAAGTTTTAAGATTTAAAAGATTTTTTAAAAAAAAATATTTCTTGAGCGGGGCAATAGTGGTATATGTCTTTAATCCCAGCACTTTGGAAGCAGAGGCAGGTGAATCTCTGAGTTCGAGGCCAGCCTGGTCTACAGAGTGAGTTCCAGGATAGCTAGGGTTACACAGAAAAGCCCTGTCTCAAAAATAATAAGAAAAAAAAGAAGAAAAAAATTCTTGTGTTCTTCCGTGTATGCGTGTTTTGTGTTCATGTATGTATGTGCATATGTGTGTGTCCAACATGCATGCGGTGCCCATGGAAACCAAAAGAGCCCTGAGAGGATCTCACTTACCGCTGGCCTCCAAGTCCTTATGTAGCTGGAAAGAGTCTTGACCTCCTGAGTCCTAGAGCCCAGCTTCAGAATGCAGTTCATAGGTGTGTTCTACCGCATTCAGCTTAATGGCATGCCGGGATTGAACCCCGGGCCTTCCTACATGCTAGGCGAGTGCTCTACCGCCTGAGCCACACCCGGAGCCCCCATGCTCCCTTCCTCCTCTCTTTCCCCAGCCCAATCCTCCCACAGCAGCTCACCTTCAACTGACTGCAGTAACCCTCCAACTCTTCTGCCTCCTGCCGCCGCCGCTCCAGATTCTCACTGAGCACAGAGCACTCGCTCTTGACCATGGAAGGGAGGCAGTGGGGGAAGGTTATAGGGGGAGCAGGGGCTTATCCTCCGCGGGGCTGGGCATGCACTACGGGGGGGAGGGGAAGGCTCCAAGGTGGGAACTTAGCACTGGAGGAAGGGGCCACACAGGAGTGCGGGGGTGGTGGGGTACAGGGATTCTCCAGTCTCACACCTGCAGAGTCTGAATGTGCTGATTAACCCTTGTAGTCTTTTCCTTTAAGCTGGTGATGGAGTCTTTGGCACGCACCAATCCACTGTTGACCCCACTCTGGAAAAGAGTGGGAGACGTGTAGTCCAATACCAAGAAAACAGCTTGGTTTTGCTCTGGAAGGGTATGTGGCTTTGGTAAAGGATGGCACCCTTGGACTTAGTTTCCTTGTGTGGGAAAGCCAGAGGCAGACTGATATTCTTGACCGTGCTCAAGGAAAGTACAACGGGAAGACAGTTCAAAAACCTTGAGGCAAATGCCTGAATCTCCCTGTTGGGGATGGGGTATAACTCAGTGGTAGAGCCTCTGCTAGAACCCCCAGTGAGGGGCTGGGGTGTGACTCAGTGGTAGAGTACTTGCCTAGCATGCACAAGATCTTGGGTTTGAGCCACAAATATGTATCCATAAAAGCCCTCCTCCTTTCTCTCTCTTCACTCTCTGGAGTAAAATCAACAACATCTTGGATCATCACACAGACACTGAGATTTGTTTCCCAAGTATGCGTTCTTCAGCCTCCTCAGCACCTCTATCTAGTCAACATGCTTCATTCTTTTTTGTTTTGTTTTTGAGACAGGGTCTCACTATGTAGCTCTGGCTGTCCTGGAGATGTCCCTGCTTCAGCTTCCTATTTATTGGGATAACCGGCAAGAGCACTGTGCCCAGCTGTCTCCACTTTGAAGACAGTCTCTACTGGGCAGGGATGGCGCACACCTTTAATTCCAGTTCTTGGGAGGCAGGTGTATCTCTGAGTTCAAAGCCAGCCTGTTCTAGAGAGAGAGTTCCAGGACAGTCAGAACAGTTACATAGAGAAACCTGGAGTAGGAGGGCCTTCAATGTGTTACTTTCATTGGTTAATAAAGAAACTGCCTTGGCTTTTTGATAGGGCAGAATTCAGATAGGTGGAGTAGACCGAACAGAATGTTGGGAGAAAGAAAGCAGAGTCAGGCAGATGCCATGAAGCTCCGGCCCAGGATGGATGTAGATTAGAATCTTCCTGGTAAACCACCACCTCGTGGTGCTACAGATTATTAGAAATGAGTTAATCAAAATGTGAGAATTAGCCAATAAGAGGCTGGAACTAATGGGCCAGGCAGTGTTTAAATGAATACAATTTCCATGTAATTATTTTGGGTAAAGCTAGCCAGTGGCCGGGAGCTGGGTGACGAGTAGCATCTCGCTGCTCCTTTTATAACAGAAACACTGTCTGAAAAATAAATAACTAATAAATAAACAAAAACAAAGATTATCAGCAAAATGGCAGTGGATGAATTCTAAAATCCACACTTCCATAAGCAGACTAACAGAGCAGAAACACCCTGAGGCGCTCTCCAACCCTCTAGAAACTGAGGATAAAATGGGCCAGGTATGGTGGCACACATCTATTATCCTGGCACTTGGGAGGTGATGCTCTGGGGAATGCTGGCTGCCATGTCAACATTTCCCTATGGAGAAGAAGGCCATGTGACCAGGAGGGGAGCCTAGGTCTCTAGCCAAAGGTCAGAAAGGATTGAAGCGCCCACAGGGTGCAATGTCTTGGTAGGGCCATCAGATGAACACAGCTGTAAGCACAATGCTGACTCCTCCCATCAGAGGACCATAGTGCAGTGTTTTATTCTTTTTTTGGGGGGGCACCACCCAGCTCCCAAATAAATCACACATGGAGGCTTATTCTGTTATGAATGCCCAGTCTTAGTTTGGCTTGCTTCTTGCCAACTTTTCTTATCTTAAATTATCCTGACTACCTTTTGCCTCTGGGCCTTTATCTTTCTTAATTCTGAATATTTTACTTTCCTTCTTACTGTGTAGCTGACTGGGTGATTGGGTCCCTGATGTCCTCCTCTTATTCTCTTGTTCTCCAAGTTCTCTCTCCTCCCGGATTCCTCCTATTTATACTCTGACTGCTATACCTGCCTGATGTGGTGGGATTCCCCTCGGTATGCTGTGAATGCCATTGGTTAATAAGGAATCTGTTTCAGCCAGTGGCTTAGCAGAACAGAGCTAGGTGGGGAAAACTACACTGAATGCTGGGAGAAAGAAGGCAGAGTCAGGAGAAGCCATGTAGCTGGAGACAGATGCCAGAACTTTACCCAGTAAGTAAGCCACAGCCTTGTGGTGATACACAAATTAATAGAAATGGGTTAAATTAAGATGTAAGAGTCAGTTAATAAGAAGCTAGAGCTAATGGGTCAAGCAGTGTTTTATTTTGTGTGGTTATTTTGAAAGTCTGGGTAGCTGGGACTGCACAAGTGGTGCCCTACAACAAATTGGTGCCAACGTGGCCAACTAAAATCCACTTAAAACCCAAGAGGACTTTGAGAGGAATTCTGGACACTAAAAACCAAGGTTAGTTGCATTGTTATTTTTCTGAATGGGCTTTGCTTGCTGGTGTCATGCTGCAGCTCCCTTAAGAGAGGTTTTCCTGATTCAGCGGTAGCAGAAAAAAAAACATGTGGTTTCCAAACAGCAGCTTTCTGGGCCTTGCTGCCAGCACTGACTCTGGCTCTTTCAGGAGGCTGAGCACCTAAGTGGGGTGTGTAAGCAGTGGGTTACAATCTGCTTAATGATGCGACATAGACCCGCTGCATAGCTAGAACTGGGACAGTGTGCTTGACTCTCAGAGGCAGCAAATAGGTCTCTGCCATGTCAGAATGGGCAGAGTCAACAGGCAAAGCAGCCTTAGTACTAGCCAAGCCATTTAACATTTAAAGAAGTGATTCTGGTCATAAAAGGATTACAGATGTACAATAAAAATAAACTCAGATGAAAAAGACCTCTAAATGGGCCACAGTGTTAGATAAATGTATGAAGGCTTGGGAGAGAGAAGAAAGAGTATAGAGAGTTATAAAAAGAGGTAAATTGAAGCCTGGCAGTGGTGGCGCACACCTTTAATCCCAGCACTTGGGAAGCAGAGGCAGGCAGATCTCTGTGTGTTCAAGGCCAGCCTATTCTACAAGAGGTAGTTACAGGACAAGCTCCAAAGCTACAGAGAAACCCTGTCTTGAAAAAAAATTGAAAAAAAAAGAGGTAAATTGTTTTAAAAAAATAAAGCAAAGTCTTTAAAGAGACAGAGTACATCTGCAGAAAAAGTAATAGAGTAAGAAAAATAAGTCATGGGGCTGGTTTCAAAATTTGGGTCTCAGGATCTGTTGCTTTGGAAAAGAGGTTCTTCTTTTGTTTCCACAGAGGATGAGAACCTGTGGATTTCTTCCAGACTAATGTGGGTTGACGGACTAAGAGCCCCCAAAAGGTTGCAGTGAACACCCCCAAAGATTACTTTGCCCAACAAAAAGCAGGAAGCAGTTTGGAAAGAACTATGCCCAAATTCCTAAATATGGTTTATAAATGTTTATTTACCTTTAAAGGGGGATATGCTATAGAGATTTGCATTGGTAAAGATCTTGGTTAATTGATACAAATTTAAGGTAGTTTGTTTTATGTATATTTTTGCTCTTGATTAAGGTATTGTGTTTGTGCAGCACAGTTAAAAATGTAATGTATAGCCAGGCGGTGGTGGCACACGCCTTTAATCCCAGCACTCAGGAGGCAGAGGCAGGCAGATCTTTGTGAGTTTGAGGCCAGCCTGGTCTATAAGAGCTAGTTCCAGTAGCAGCTCCAAAAACTCCAGAGAAACCCTGTCTCAAAAAACCAAAACCAAAAAATGTAATGTATAATTAAGAAATATAGGTTAATAGATAATCATTTATAACAGTTAAGCTTGTAATCATGTTAGATTTTCTAGGTGTACAGAGATGTATTCCAGTTGGATAGGCATTCTTTAAATCTTTCAAAGACTACAGAATATGGCATTTAAAATATTTAAGAACTTAGGCCTTTTCATGGCAGTGAGACACATCTGCTCCTGGCAGCTCCAATAAATTCAAGAGGAAAATGGGCACTGAAGAGGCTCCTCCTGGAATTTCCTAGCCATTTGCGCAAGAAACTGCTCTTGCCTGGACTGCTTGATGTTTGCTGTATGAACAGGACAAGCAGGACCCACAGAAGAATGACTGCGAACTTGCCTAAAGGTGAGACCATCCTTTGGGGTTCTTGCTTTATGAAAGAGTCTACTAGACATTTTGCAGGACGCAGAAAAAAAGTGACTGACAAAGTGCCAGTATAGGTGGCACTGTCTTTGAAATTTCCTGCTTCATGGAGAGTCTGTCAGATACTATGGGACTATAGGCTGAAGACAGATGTCCCAATGGTACAGAAGAACTTTGGGAGACTATCCAGGCAGTGAGATGTCTCTATTAACTCTAGAGTTTTGGGAGTTCCTCTCAATGCACTTCCTGTTTACTTGAGTAATATTATATCCTTCTGGAGCCTTTGATGAAATTGAAGAATTTAGTTATAGTTATAGTTTTCCTTAGTTATAATGAAAGATAAAGTAGATATAAATGTTGTAACTAATTCTTGACACCTGTCTTGTTATATGTACTTTTACTATGTTAAAATTATTTAAACAGAAAAGGGGAGGTGATGTGGTATTCCCCTCTGTATGCTGTGAATACTATTGGTTAATAAAGAATCTATTTTGACCAATGGCTTAGCAGAACAAGGCTAGGTGGGGAAAACTAAACTGAATGCTGGGAAAAAGAAGGCAGAGTCAGGAGAAGTCATGTAGCTCTGCCAGAGACAGATGCAGGAAATCTACCTGATAAGAGCCTTGTTGTGACACACAGATTAATAGAAATGGGTTAAATTAAGATGTAAGAGTTAGTCAATAAAAAGCTAGAGATAATGGGCCAATTGATTAATATAGTTTCTGTGTGGTTATTTCAAGAATCTGGGCAGCTGGGAACACACAAGCAGCCTCCTACAACACCCACCTGTCCTTGGTCCTTCTTGCTCTTGAGTCATTTAACTCCTCTTTAAAAAAAATTATTTATTTATTATGTATACAGTGCTCTGCCTGCATGTATGTCTGGCTAGAAGAGGGTGCTAGATATCATCTACTGTTGCGAGATATTGATTACACTGTGTAAAGATAGGGTGCTATGATTTTAGCTTAATAAAAAGCTAAATGGCCAATGGCTAGGCAGGAAGTATAGGCGGGACTT